CACTCCCATCCAGTCACATGGGCAGCAAGCCACTCCCACAAAGGAGGCCACACCCACAGAGTAGGTTCGAACAATTTTTGAAACCCACCACTGGCTTAAACCTTGGCTCCCATTCCCTGTTCCTCGACTTGTCTTCTCTTATGTCACGCTAGATAACATTGGGCCCATGAAATTGCAGAGTCTACAACGCGGGAGGAAATTAATGAATCAAGATATGAGGTTGGGTTGGCTTGATTCTAGATTGGGCCTTTTTAGAAGTTTCTTCCTCTGACCAATTAAGCGACTGGGACGCTCCTGCTTCTCTTGCCTGCTTTTTTCCAAGTTAACATCTCTTGATCCATCCACACATTCCATTACACCAGCTTTCTGCCCCATCCGGTAAGCACAGGCACAAGTTATGATGCTTTGAGGCCCTTCAGACGTACAAGAAATCAATTGAGACCCCAGAAGGCATGCCTTCTTCTCTGCCGTCCTCTGGAATAGCCCCTCCCCACAGATCTGTCTATTTCAGAAGGGGGTTCCTACGGGTTTGGACCGGTTCGGCTGAGAAGGTAGTAACTTGGCCGGCCACGCCCCTGAACCGGTTCTATCGATGTCTGCTTACGCACCGCCATCTTGCTTTTTGCAATGTGCAGAAGCAATTTTTTTTACTACTGTGCATGCGCGCATAAAGCACGCACACGTCCGAAGTGCGTCCCTGAGCGAACCGGCAGTAACAGAAGTTGGAACCCACCTCCGGTTTAGGTCCCACCTTGACAATGTCTTTTTTTTTTTGTTTAAAATAAAAGAAAAAAAGAAAAACCCACCCACCATGACTCAACTTTCAGATTTTAAGGTCTTGGCTGTTCAACCAGACCTTGTGTGTGTGTGTGTGTGTTTGTGTGTGTGTGTGTGTGTTAGCATGTTTGTGGAGCTTTGTTGGTTGTGTTTTCTATCTGAGGGAGTGTGCTTGTCTGGCTGTACGGGATTTTATTTCTAGTGTTGTTGTTTTTTAATTGTTTCCTATTTTTAGTGTAAGCTGCCCAGAGACACTTTGGAGTCAGGAAACCTCTGAATCTTGTAAACAAATGAACAAACAAACAAACAAGTTGCTCTTCTGCAGAAGGGCTCAGCTGTATAGGGCTGGAGGACTGTCTAGGCAGGGCCATCTACCAGTGAGAGGAGGAAGGCCAACAAAAGAGTCAAGATGGAGGTGGTACCTGCATGATGGAAACCCCACCCTTTTAAACATGCATTGCACATACGATGGAGTTGGGAGAGCAAAATCTGTCTCCAAAATTGCCTCACTTCTGGGCATCCTTCGTTCCACTACCACTATTGCTATTACTAAGTTTGTATGGTGCGAATCCTTCCAGCAAAAGAGCTGGAATAAAGTGTCCCAATTCAATAATAAAGTGTCCCAATTCTCACCTGCAAACAGCATAACATTCATAGATATTTTTTTTTTNAAACTGCAGTGTCTCTCTATGCTGGTTTGTGAGTTCTCCAACACAACTCTCACAACGCTTCGCTGAATGTACTCGCTCTCCCAACGGGGAGCTTACCTTACAGTTTTCTTTTTCACAACAGTAACAACTTTCAGCGAGTGTTTATTAGAGCCATGTAGAATGTTTTATAATTGATGGACTAATAATTGTTTATGTTGGCATTGAAATTAGTCTGAGAGCTCTTTTACTCCTATGATATGGTCAAGTACTTTTGGAGTAGTATTAGAATTATGGGAAAAACTTTGATTTTTAAGGACATGTGCATTGTATTATTAAATTATATTCATATCATTTCAAATTTAACTTGTTCTAAGCAAAGAAAGGTTTTTTGTGGTCTAGGAATACCAAAAAGAATAATTCTGAAGAGATGGAAAAAATTCTTCACAGATTGGATTTCAGAACTCAATGATCAAGCAATTTTTTAGGAAATTATATATTTTGTCAGAAAAAAGGTGCTTTTTTCAGGAGGCAACTGGGCTTCCTTGTTTTTTCTTTTGACAATGCTTTGCTTCTCATCCAAGAAGCTTCTTCAGCTCTGACAGGATAGCGTATGCACCTTTGGGATATCCAGCCAGAGCTGAAGAAGCTTCTTGGATGAGAAGCGAAACGTCTTCAAAAGAAAAAGCAAGAAAGTCCAGTTGCCTCCTGAAAAAAGTACCTTTGGGACAACCATGACCTGGATGACGGAGAATCTCTACAGACTTTTATATATTCTGTCAATCAGAAAATGTTAAATTTCCCTCTGGAAAAAATATTTTTTTTTAATATACTAAAAACTTAATTCCCTTTTTTGATGATTTGTACAATCAAATGAACTTGGACGTTTCTTTCTTTGTCTATGTTTTTATTTGTTGATGTTTTCGTTTTTCGTTGAGGGGTGACATATAACGTATTTTTCGGAGTATAAGACCTTTTTCCCTCAAAAAAAAAGCTGAAAATCTGGGTGCGTCTTATACATTGAACACAGCATTTTTGCCTCCTGAAACCCCGCCCCCTTTGCAAAAATGGCAGTGCATAGCTTGTAGGAGGCTTCCGGAGTGCTCCGGGGGGCTGGGGAGGGCAGAAATGAGCAAAAAACGGGCCAATATTTGCTCAATTTTGCCCCCCCAACCTCCAGGAGCACTCTACAAGATTCCTAAAGGCTATTCATGCCCTTTTTTTTGACAAAAAATGAGCCTGTTTTCGCGAAAAATGGGCTGTTTTGGGAGGTCTGCAGAGTGCAAAAGCTTTTTTTAAAAAAATTGCCTCTTCAAAATCTTGGTGCGTCTTAGACACCACAAAATATGGTACATATACATACATACATACATACATACATACATGCATGCATACATACATACATACATATGTCTTCAATAACACAGCTAAGTAAATACAAAAATTCTGTGATCAAAAGAACCAAGACGCTTTCACAAACTTTGGAATGCACAAAAGCACAAAAAGAAAAATCACAATTACCTGAACAAAAGTCTTTGTCCTGGCTCCTTTCTGATAATATTTAATTTGTAGTAGTGGCGCAGGGCACGGGACATTTTCTCATAGGTCATGTTTGTTCGGTTCTGCTCCAATTAAAGACAAAGAAAAGCAAGAATTAGGACAAGATACCAAAACGATCAAGACAGAAGAGGTTGGCTTAAACCAGAGGTGGGTTCCTACCAGTTTGCACCTATTCGGTAGAACCGGTTTGTCAAATCTACCGAACTGTTTAGAAGAGCAGAAAGCAGGCCACACCTACAGAAG